AATTACAGAAGGTTAATCTGAATAAAAAACTTTCATGAATTAAGGCATGAAGAAAGCCACCTACAAATGATAAAACTAATAGCTGGAAACATAGTCTATTGGTCATAATCACTGGGTAAGGTAAAGGTTTGCATATAGCTACATAGCGATCATAAGCCATTGCTGCCAACAGAAAACATTCTGTGGTTGCACTGATTGCAAAAGAGAAAAATTGTATCATGCATTCAGAGAAGGTTATCATCTTACTCATGTTTAAGAAGTTCACCAGCATTTTTGGTGTCACAGTGGATGATAACCAAGTATCTACAAAGGCTAAATTCCCAAGGAATAAATACATGGGTATGTGAAGGTGAGAGTCATTCCTGATGAGAGTAATCAGACCCAGGTTCCCCACAATGGTAACGAGGTATATTCCTAAGAACAGGATGAACAGGAAGATTTGCCACTCTGTTTGACATGGGAGTCCAGTGAGGACAAACTCAGTCAGCAATGTTTCATTTTTCATTGCCATTTTCTCACTGGAGGTCTTCTGAAAAGAAATTCAGAGGCTGTGAATGAAGATTTACAATGATTCAAAACAACAAATTGAAAATATATGAGCAGAGAAAAAAATCACTTTTATATATTTATAAAGTGCATTTGTCAGAATATACACTACAGTAATAGGAGAAAATAATATTGAGAAAACAAAATGGGAAAAACTGTGATTAATACACTTAATAAATGTGCAGAAGTAAAAAATTTACAGGAAATGAGATTCTTTCTAAGTTTTTGATCACTTTATTGAGACCGATTGAATGTGGTTAGAAACTATGTCCTGAACATGTGCAGAGTCTAGAGTAAAGCTATTAGAATGACCATGAATATAAACTGACTTTAATCACTTGGGAAGAAACATAAATTCTATTTCCCAAGTAGCAGACTTACACTAAGATATTTTAAAATCTGGAATGATATGGTAAAATATTCTTTAAATTAAATGTTTGAGAGTGTACATATTGTCTTTGGGGGAAACATAAAAGTCAAGTCTAGTTGCAATTCTCTAGCACTTCCCAAAGCATATACAATATCTCCATTGTGTTTGCAAGCTTATTGTGCAAAACATAGATTATAAGTTATTATTTTTAAAAATAATTCAAAAATGAGAAGAGAATCTGTACTTTTAAAATGTTCCTCTGATGATGGAAACTTGAGTGTGGTGCTTACTCCATCTATGATTCAACACTTTTAGTAATTATGAGAATGAACACTGTTTAAGACTGGAATATATTTTAGGAATTAAAGGGTGATCAGTGAAGTAGTGGTGATTCAGTACATGATAATCAAGAATAATACTGAGAAGTACAGAGCATTCTGAAATTTGTAGAGAAAGAATCTCTTCAAATACTGTGTGAAATGTAACTAAATATGTAAAACTACTGCTGAGCACTACTGGAAGTAATATGGCTGTCATTGGTATAGTTGCAGGCACACATATGGGTAACCTATCTGTCAGTGAGGACACACAAAGGAAAGAGATGGGAAAAGAGAAAATATTGAGAAAGTTTTGGTATAGAGATTATGATGCAAACAGATGTCATTTTCTAAGAGGTCACACCTGAAACCCTTTCTAACATAATCTTTTTGGTAAGAAGCAGCTACCATACACTGGAGCAGGTGATAGGGGCAGGAACTGG